ACAACCACATCTGTGGCACTTGCACAGCTGCTTTGAGGAAGAAATAATAACACAGGCTTCTAAAAGTAAGTGGTCATAAAGAAATCCTACCACACTATTCTCAAAAATATAACTGTACTCTTCCCCTCTGCAAGTCAACCATATGCTCATCAAATCTTTCTAAATGTTTTCAAACAAAAGAGCTCTGGCAAGGAAGGTGAGTCAAAGAGCTTCCAATATAGTTGGAGTATCTTTGAAAGGAAAAATCAGATTAAAGGATCCTGATCACACCAGTCCAGAGACTGGATAGTTAAAAACCCCGATATATCAACATACCTGGGGTCACATTTTAAAAATATAACATCTTTGTGCAGAGACTTTCTCAGCAAGCCAGAGTTATTTACAGCTAAAAGAAAAGAGGTATGAGATCATATTATTGTGGCAAATGAAACAATCCCAATTGGTTTTACTTATGCAAATGTAGCTACTTGTGACAGCAAATACATTCATCTTAAAAGAACACTGAATTAAGGCAACAGAAACTAACAGTAAGCACACAGAGATGTATTAGCATTTATATGCACATGTTCTACTAAAAAAAAAAAAAATCAGGTTAATCTAGTCTATTTTAATCACATGCAAGGAGAATATGAAAAGGAAATTAAACATATCCAAATCTTATTGCTTCAGCTTATTAAACTTCACTGGAATTCTAATGTGAAATATGCCTATCATACTGAGATGCTGCCCTGTGCAATGTTTTCAGAGAACAGCAATACTTCAGCTCCTACAACAGAGTGCTATCCCTCCTGATAGCACCACAGGGAATACATCAAGATTGCATGGCCACCTGGGACATGAACAGATGTGACACCACACGAATCAGCTATTTCACTACAGTTATATGACTATCCACATTAGTGATCCTTGTCCAATTTTGAAGATTCAAGTACAAATAAAAAACAACTCTCAAACATGCACATGTCTGAAGAAATCCTTGAATGCTTGAATTCTTTTCTATCCATGAAGAATATTTAAATTATTTATATCCTAGTGCAATACAAACCAAGCTTATAAATGATCACATTTGGAACACATACAAGGGTTTCCACTGGAGATATTTGCTGTAGTATTTAACCTACTAGCACAAACAGGTACATCATCAGTAATTGGTGACAGGCCACATTAAAGGTTAATATGTCAGTCATAAATATTGGTACCAAGGTGAAGAGCTGTAAAGAGAAATGTATTCTTAATATTTAGGTGTAAAAATGAACCTGAAAAACACTGAAAGTTACACACCCTATAAAGACTACAGAACAAATTATTCAGGTAAAAACAAAAGGTGACTCTGAACATGTGTTAATATACCAAAACATAGCAAAATTATGTAAAATGATCAGAGAAAAACATATGCAATGAGTATGATTGGTTAAATTTCAAACAGCACTTTTAAAAATTGCACTGTCCCTGTGAAGAAATAGGAATTAATGCTTCAGAGTGGGCATTATGTTTTTATAAAGCTCTGTATAGCTGTACATTCACAGGATTTCAAAAATGCATTAAAAAATCACTTCATAAAAACCAAGCAAAGTGATAGTGGACTGATGTTCATTTAACTTTTGCAAATGGAAAACTTAAATGTTAAGGGCAGTGTGGTGACCATCTGTATTGACTGAGGAGTATAATCTATGCTGTAGAAGTACATAATCACAACAGGGATGTATTTAGCCTGACTGCACAGTTTAAAATCAAAAGAAGGCCGTCAGAAAGAAAAACAGGAAATTAATCAACAAGAATTGACACTCCAATAGGGAAAAGCACTTCAAGGTGCTGAGAGAAAAACAATCACATGACTTCTAACCAGAAAACACCTGATTTATGTTCACCCATACAATAGTTACTTTGTTAGACCTCTGAGTCTAAAGTCTAAACACCTACAAGGAAATGTAAAAAACATTGCTTTCAAGAGTGTGTCCATATGGCCTGTGCAGATGTATTTGGGAGAATCCGCCAGGAACTGTTCATCCGGGAGCAGGATGACATAGAAAGGCTCTACTCTGCTTTTTCATAAGCATTCCTAAGAAGATAAACCTCTCTGGTTAACTGTAGGAGCATTTAGACTTCCAGAGAGAAATGTCCACACACAGTCTGTTTTTAAATCTTTGTCCATCTATTACACAGCTTTACAAACTGCCAAAGGGAAGAAATGCAGTTATTAAACCTCCATCAGTTTTTTTTAAGCAATCCTGGTTACATTACAAAGGAGTCTGCCCAGCTCCTTGAGTACAACTGGAAAAGCTCCCTGGATTCAACCCGTAAAAACGTGAAAGCTGAGATCTGTCATTTCTGAGAATGAATGCAAGGGAGCAGCTCAGCTTGTCGTTGTGGCAAACAGAGTTAGGTAAAACCATCTAAGAAAGAGACAGAGAAGGAAGTACCCATATTAAATTGCAGCTCTAAGAAGGCTATGTTTATCTCTTTAAAGAGTCTAAATTTAGACTGCAGTAAGAATGCCCCTCAGGATTAAACATTGTGTAAATATAAATAGTGAAAACCAAAGTAAACCATCCTCTCCATTTTCTCCCATTTCTTTCTCTCTCCATTTTAATAAAGCCAAAGCAAAAATTTACATATGACCCATGACACCAATGCTCAGCAGGAGTTCAATGGAGATGTTTTGGTATTCCTCTACATATAAATGAGAGATTGCTGATTCTACTTTGGTTTGAAAGAACATAGAAAGAATATTTAAAAGCACAAGTACAACAGATGCTTGTTAAAACAAAGATCAGACATCTTTCATGACAGTAAGCATAAAAGGAATTTAGAGATGGGAATAAAAAGAAAGCTGTAATACCTGGGGATCTTTATTTCTTATGAGCCTTCAGCATTTTTAGAGATTTCTACATGTCATAGCAATGCAGCAGCCTTCACACTGTGTATTCTTGAGTAACACTGCACACCTGTGTGTTTGTATTTGCAAAGGTGCAACAGGTTACCAAAGCCCATTATTTCTGAACCATCATCAGCCAGGAGCATAGACAGAGGATATATTAGTACATACCCACCTTGAAACCTGAATGAACTCAAGATCCAAAAAGGACACAGCAACTCACAGTTCCTAATCCAGAAACAAAAGTAGGCAAGCCATTCTTTTTGCACAGCTACACTGGTCTTAAGCAGCTCTACTCAAACTTCTGTTGAAGTACATTCTACATCCTTTAAAATAGCCAAACATGAAAGAGCTCATGTCTTTCCAAAATAGTAGTTTTTAAGCAAGTCAATCAAGGCTACGGAACATGTATAACTGAACAGAAAATTGTATGTTGATTCACTTGCTATCTTCGTTAGACCTAGATTCGCACCTTTTTAATGGATTATTGTGAGAGCACTTTTCAGTGACGGGACATATTTGCTTTCCCGTATAGTTTGATTTGAGTTTGGCAGTGTTTTCATACAAGTCAGAGAACACAGGACAGAATGGAGCTCAGGAAGCATTCAAAAAACCAGTCCCTCACAATTTTCAAACCAGTTCAATACCCACCCATTAGCAGTTACATTTAGGTGATGTTTCTTGCCTTGATGATGGCAATGTTACTCAAGCAGGGTCAGATGTCTTACTGGAGAAACACAAGATCTACTGTTTCTCATCTATCTCCAAATTCTACTATTCCGTTAAAGGAGATATTAGATTGGATGGACATGATTATTCTTTTACAAATATACATGTTCTCTCTTACTCACTTGAAATTGCTCACATTTCCAGAAAACTACTGGAACATATAAATAAAGCTGCTAACTGGCCTGTAATTTCCCAGGTCCTCCATCTTACCCTCTTTATAATACGCGTGTGCCTGCTTGTTTTCTGGCTTTCCAGTTTCCATATGCTTCTGTCCAGTTTTGAAGATCAAAGAGTTCATGATTTATCACAGTTGATCCCTTACTATTCTTCCTTGGGAAAATGAGGACACAGCTCCTTTAAGGAACCATCAACTTCCTTGAACTCTTTTGTCCCTTAGATAAATTTTAATATCTACATATTTTTACTCTGCATATGGAAACTTTAGGTCCTATACCAGCTCATGTTCAGGAACTTAAATAAAACTTAGAAGGCTTTTGAAAATACTTTCAGAATATTTTTCATAATTTTCTTTTGAAATCGTGCAGCTTAAATAGGCTGATTTTCCTCTGTTGCCAGCAATCACTTTCATTAGACATTAAGTCTTGAGCAGGATGTTGGACTAGACGACCTCCTGAGGTTCTCTTACAGCTTGAATTATCATATGGTACTATGAACTAAGGAGTCTATTTCATCAAAGTCAAGCATGCCAATAAACACTCATTTTAAAAATGAGAAACTTTATGCTTTCATTTTAGCATCTTTTACTTCTCCACTTAAACTCTTGTGCAACATAAATCAGAAACATGCTACAAAATGGGTGGTCTTTTATAACACACCAGGCTTATAATTAAAACACAAACTTGATCCCAATACACTGATGGGGAAGCAAAAAATGATGCCCTACTCCTTCAACAGTTATGTGGGTTTTTTTACAACGGAGAATAGTTCTTGCCTGTAGAAATAAAAAAGCACAGTGCTAGCACACCAAGGGTTTAAAACAATTACCAAAAAATTTAGTGGGCAGTAATGAAATAACATGGGAAGAATTTTTCTGCACAATGCTTCTGAACAATCTGACACCATACTTAAAATTAATTGGTAGGAAGTTTTCAGACATACCTCTTCTTCTGTTAAATTGTATAAATTAAGAACTTCAGTTTGACTCCTCACAGACTCCTACCCTTTTTGATGAAACTCAGTTATACAAGCTTTGGAAATACTATACACCTACCAACTGCTAAAATCACATTGGCTTTCTGGTAAATGAAAGGCAACAGCAGTGTGGCATTGTTTCCATGAAGGCTCAAAGGCTCTAAGGCTGCAATTAATACAATTCTTTGGGAAAAAAAAGAAAAAATTTCTACAAAACTTAAAAATAGAGGCAAAATGCACTTACAGTGTTAGCAAGTTCTAAGTAACTTCCTCCAAAGGAGTTGCTAAAATTTGAGGCCTGAGCTAGAAGTCTTTTCAGAGCAGCTTGTTGAGTCACATTGCTTCCACCATACTCCAACACCTTTTGTAGTGTAAAATGGCTCTGGAGGTCCGGACTCTGAAGGTCTCTTGCTCCTGAATCATACTCCCAGCTTTCTCTGGCTCCTGATAAGGCACCTAAAATGCAGAAATAAAAAAACATTCTAGTATGGACTGTGTATAAAGAACACATAGAATCACAGCACAACTCAAGTTGGAAGGGACCCATAAGGATCATCGAGTCCATCTCCCTCTTCCTCACAGGACTACCTAAAAATGAACTGTATGACTAACAGTGTCGTCCAGACACTCCTTGAACTCTGACAGGCCTGGTGCCGTGACCGCTTCCCTGGGGAGCCTGTTCCAGTGACTGACCACCCTCTCAGTGAAGAACCTTTTCCTAATGACCAATCTGAACTTCCCCTGATGTAGCTTCATTTCATTTCCTCGTGTCCCATTGCTGGTCACCAGGGAGATGCAGATCACCAGGACAGCACCTCCCGCTCCGCTGCCCCCCCAAGGAAGGTGTAGACCACGATGAGGTCACCCCTCAGCCTTCTCTTCTCCAAGCTGAACCAGCCAAGTGACTTCAGCTGCTCCTCCTAAGTCTTGCCCTCAACGCCTTTCACCATCTTGGCTGCCCTCCCCTAGACACACTCCCATAGTCTGATGTCCTTCTTACACTGAGGCACCCAAAACTGCACACGGTACTGGAGGTGGGGCCACACCAGTGCACTGCAGAGTGGGACAACCACCTCCCTCGACCAGCTAGCTATGCTGTGCTTGATGCACCCCCGGAGGCAGTTGGCCCTTCTAGCTGCCAGGGCACACTGTTGACACATGAATAAGCCTGCTTGTCTTTCCAGAAAGAAAAAAAGCAAACAGCCTCACCACCATCACTCCACATCTTGCAGATGCTAACAATGCCAGAAAGAAAAAAAACCTAACATTTTCAATGCACAGATACTTTACTAAATTACAAGATCCAGAAGGAAAAAGAAAAGTATTTGCATACGTTATTTAGTATAGAGTAAAACCAGTGTAATTTACAATAGCTAAGGACCACTGAATGAAAGAGTGTCAGACTGAAAAGCAGCACTGATCAAAGAACAAAAGAGGAAAACCATAATTCACCTGTTTACTGAATACCAACACAACACATGAATCTCTTAGCTGTATAGTTCATCACTTTTTATGTTAGCACTGCCTTTCTTCTAATCTCAGGACTGTTTGTTTCAGTTCAAGTTTCAGAGACACATCAATCACAAGGTGTTTCATTACAAATCAATGCAAGAATATGACGCTGTAGCTAGTGGCAAATAAATACTTCAGAGAAAGTTTCTGTATCGTGAAGTTGTGGAGTTGTTGTGTTTCCATGTACAAACCTTCCAATCCCCTACAGCTAGAGATGGGCTTTAACCCTAAAACAAATTTAACAACATTTTCTTATTTTATCAGTAACTATTTCATCCCTGGGTGTCTCAGCTTCCCATGCAACTGTCCCACTCCTTTTAAAATCCTGTTATGTTTTAACATAACAATTTCCTATGGCAAAACTTCCCATGGTAGACACTAAATTATTTAATAACACTGGGCAGCACTGTAGCATAATGAAGATTAAAAACAATTAAGTAACTTGTCCAAGCACACATTCTAAGTTAATAGAAAAGTCAGAACAGAATCCAGAGCTACAGACTAGAGCAAAACTCTTAAATCCAACATCCAATCATCAAACTGTAAGTAATTGTCTGCAATGCCATCCTACTAGTTTGAAAGCTTTTCCTTTTTATGATCTAGTTCTCTCTCAAATATTCATTAGCATTCTCAGTGAGCATTTACTAATCAGTGGTTATTACTTGTTCAGTTCAATGCCAGGGAGAAACAATAAAATAGATAATGAACTATTAGGAGAATGCCTCCCCCTTGCCAAGAAAGTTGAAGCTTCAAAAGTGCAAACAGAAAATTAGCCAGAAGAGAAGCAAGATCTAATCTGTAGCTTTAGGTCAACACTCTTGTAAAGCAGTTATGCATGACAAACTGACTTAGGAAACCCAGAGCTGGTTTTCCTGCGTTATGGTAATAAGAGTATGCTAGTCCTTAAATGTGTAAGTAGAAAATAATAAAAAACAAAAAAGAAATATGTATTATACTAATATAATTACCATGATTCATTACCACAGGTACAGGTAGCAATTAAAGATTCAGTTGCATTTACACCAAGAGCATGCACCATTGTACTTAACTATATGCTGCAAGCTCTCCAACAGAGCTGAATTAAGATAAGATGCTGCTACCAGCAATATCTTACGCTGTCTGTAGTGTACTATGACTAGTGACTATGCACAATGTTAAGGTATCTCTGCCCTCTTGTGGCTACAGTATACCCTACAGCAAAAAAACCAGCAGCTCACAGAGCTGAAGCAGCAGAAATGTCTCAGGAGTTTGAGGGAGACAGGGGACCAGTTCTGCGGCCTCCCAGGATTAACAAGAACATGGGAAACAACTCTATCTGCATGAGTGTAGTCACAGAATTAAGAGAGCTGGTTATATCACATAGATAGTCCTGGTTTTACAGAGCTAAATACAGCCCACATTTCTACAGAATATGTGCACTAAATTTCTACTACTCAAATGACATTGTTCTGCAAAAGAGCTTTCACATTCATTCAATTAGCAACAGTAGCTTTGTTGAAGACCCAAGTGGCCTTCACAGATTGCACCATCTGCTATCAGATTGGAAGCACTTACAATACTCAGCTGGCTCAGAAATCACCTGTCAGTCACAAATGGATCAGGCACTCCAGGAAAGATTGGGTTTTTATGACTCTATTTTTAACCCAAGTTTTCTTGGAAGTTCAACATTGTACTCCTAATTTAAAACATATATACTAAAAAAGCAAGGAGAGATGACTGTTACAAAGGAAGGCATTTCCAGTATTTTATTTCGGGCATAACCCTAATCTCTAAATTTGCCCACTGTTTTCCCAACAGATTCCAAAACTCTGGCTGTTAAGATGCTGTCCTCCTGGGTCATGCACCTTTGAAGTCTCAGCTCTGCAGGGAAACTCTGGAGTTGTCAAAACTGAGATTTCAGTTGTCACTGAAAATTCAGTCTAGAATTAACATGCAGCTCTAGTATGTTGCTGTAATTAACATACAACTCTTGCTCTTACAGTGGTAATCAGAAAGAAGAGATCATTATGTATGATGGCACACCAAAAGCTGACAGCTGACCTGATAACTAGGGATCTATAGTTCCTAAATCTCTAAGAATTAGTCTTTACAGAACTACACACAGCCCATAGTTGTTTTCCCTGCTGCTCTACACTTACAATCATATGAAACACGAAATTTATGTATTATATGAAAAAAAACTACTATCGTGAAAATTCCCAGGTAATAAGCACGCCAGAAAAATTTGTTATTACAACTACTAAGCAGAAGAAGAAAAAAACTTAGTTGCACAATATTTGTATCAGCCAAGTAATATAAGAGCATGTAATTGTTTTCAAACTATATAACTACTGTTTCAATTCCAGAGTAAGACAGTTAAATCAGTAATTTTTGGACTGAATGGATACATCAGACTTCTCTAGAAGTGCTGTATAAAAGCTTCTGATTCTACACAAGCTTCTACACAAGTATTCTTTTAATTGCCTTCCTAGTACTACTAGCACTTGCCTGTCTTGACCTGTAATTAATTCTGGGTGAAATTCCCGTTAGAGCAAACATTCAGTACCTAACAGCAACTTTTTGGTTTTAGCCTTTTGTAGTAGAATAGATGAGTAGAGCATCCGAGTGTATGTGGACCCATTAGCAGCAGTCAGGTGAATCACAGCAAGGCAAACTAAATCTTGTCTGAAACATACATTTAAAGATTTTGTGTTTTGCAGGTTTTTCTGTTCATTTAGTTAGCCCCAGCTTTTACTTATTTCCTTACAATTGACAATTATTTAAACTTCGATGTATGGTATCACATTTAAGAAAAACAAACGACAGTTTAGTTTGATGACACACACATAAGAAGAGTCTGTAATCGGAGATAAAATTTCAGTTGTTGAATTGTACCAAAGCTATTTAAAGTAACTTTAATCAATTCCCTTGACAAATATCACTATGATAGGATACCTTGCCCATCTGCATTGAGACTTCTTAGCTAGCTTTATCACCTGCCAAGCTCTCATAACAGCACAGAGGTCTGATTTCTGGTACTGGTGTCATCCCATCCCACGCTGATCTGAAAGAAAATGGCATTTCATATTCTCTACTAACTTCTCTGCCTAGAAGCTTTTTACTCTGCAACAGAGAAGCAGGTGCCTACCATAACTACAAGTCTACCCATACAGCCAGGCTTTTTGGTTTGGTCAAGGTTAACTTTATCAGGCTATACTGCTGGACCAAGCATTATTTCATCTTTGCTCACAGAGTAGGAAAGATAACCCAAGACGGTTGCTGAAAGGATCTGGGATATCAGGAAAAGTGAGTACTGTAAGATTAGCCCTGCAGCAGCTTCTCAAATGAGTTTGACTTATGAATGTCAAACATGAAGACAGTTGACAATGTAAGATGCTATGAGCACAACCAGCCTCGAGGTCACATAGCTACACCTCACTCAATGAGGAAGGTCTTAACAGCAGAGATCCAAAGTCTCATCACCGCTTTTCATGAGGTATCAGTGACATATAGTTACTTAAACTTATTTGAGGAAGTCTGACATTTAACACAGAATGTAACTCCTGTGCACTGGGCACAGCTTGCAGCTTCTGGGAGAAATTTCATTCTAGAATATGATGATTTTACTGCTGAGTGGGCATAGAATTAAGTCCTCCCAGTTCAGTCTTAGCCTCTGGTCTCAAAACCCTTTACCATCGGCCACGATTTTGTCATCAGAAGTTGCATAATTATTTTAAAACATTTTCTTCATGCCTTACTACTTACATACAACAATTCCTGGAGATATGGTCCATCTGATTCTACCATCTCATTTCACACACTGGATTATTCAATAGGCATAAACGGGTTCTAGATTTAGGCAGTCAGTGACTCTGCAGGTTTTTTTAAGGTGAGCCAGACAGTTCCTTTCTTTTCCACTTCCGTTTTGTTCAATATCCAAAATTCAGATTCTGACTGACTGAAGA